ACACCGAACCCCAGAAGCCTTCTGACAGTTTGCAAGGCAGAGCAGCTCTCTTCAATTGATGAAGATAAAAGAGAAAAACAGGCCTCAGGGAAAATCCCCAGCCAGAATGAGCAAGTCAGGCTGCTGTCAACACGGCTGGGAGGACAGGGCAGCTGGGAAAGAGTTTCCGTTGTCACACGACTTGATTTTTAAACCAAAATAAAACGGCGGGGCTGGGATTTCTTTCTGGTTTTCTACTGAAAACAGCTGTCCACCCTGTCTTGGGCTGGGCCTTTCTCACAGTCTAGCCAGCCTCAGGGTGACCTGGGGACAAAGTGGCCCAGGGGCGCTGTTCTTTCTTGTCAGTATAAGAGGTTGGGTACATCTGAAAGCCACAAGGGAACTCTAGGAGGGATGCTGGAACCCGTTCATGGCCAGTTCATGCTGGAACCTCTCGGCTGGGAGAGCATGCCCTCTCTAGAGAAGGGTCCTGAAGGACCCTCCCTCTGCAGGAGCTCAGGATTGGCCCTGACTCTTGGAGTCAAGGTCACCAGTTCAGAGCCCAGAATGGAGAAAGACAGAGGCACTGGACCTGGAGTTAGACTCACTATAATTTGAATTCTGGCTCCACCCTGTTGTGGTCTCAAAGCTCAGACAACTCGCTTGACCTCGTGTTGTCTTTGTCCCTTGTGGAAGATGATAAAACCTGTCCCTCCTATCTCCCACGGACAGCAAGGAATGAGTAATAACTTGGATTAGAATGTCCCTCGCGATCTATAAAGTGTGCTACCACGGTGGCCGTGACTTATAGTGTATTGCTACCCTTGTCATGAGCACATTTGTAGAGTTTTCAGTAAGCAATCCAATTCTGACCTGAGCATCTGAGCTTTAAAAATAAAGGGGTGGGGGGAGACCTTGTCTTATTCCCCGTGTGTCTCAAAGACAAATGCTGGCCTTGCTAAATATTAAGATTGACGTTGTAGTCCCTAAAGTATTTGGGTATCCACGGGCTAAATTTTTTTATTATTTTTAAAATTTGTTTTAATTAGCTCTACATGACAGTAGAATGCATTTATATACTTTATATACATATATATCATGTATATGATATATCTATGATATGTCGTACATAAATAGGGTATGATTTCTCATTTTTCTGATGGTACATGTTGTAGAATCACATGGGTCATGCAGTCATATATGTACATAAGGTAATAATGTCTATTTCATCCTACTATTCTTCCTATCCCCATGTCCCCTCTCCTCCCCTCCCTTTGCTCCCCTCTAATGTTACTCTATTCTTCCCTAATGTCCCCCACCCCTTCTTGTGCCATTGGCTGAATTTATGCCCTAAGACGATAATGTCTTAAGCATAAATTGACCAAAACAAACTTCATTCAGAAGGTCACTGGTGCTGTGGATGCAGCAGGGTAGGGAGTTTGGGAATCTTAGGGGTCAGTGGTTGCTTTTTCTGTGAGGTGGTCAGGAAGGACCTGGCAAAAGGGTGACATCTGAGCAGAGACCTGAAGGAAGGGAGGGGTGTGAATGTGGAAGGAAAGAACATCCCAGGCAAGGGCATCAGCAAGCGCATCAGCAGGGCATTAGCAGGGGCATCAGCAGGGGCATCAGCAGGGGCATCAGCAAGCGCATCAGCAGGGCATCAGCAGGGGCATCAGCAGGGGCATCAGCAGGGGCATCAGCAAGGGCATCAGCAAGCGCATCAGCAGGGCATCAGCAGGGGCATCAGCAGGGGCATCAGCAGGGGCATCAGCAAGGGCATCAGCAGGGGCATCAGCAAGGGCATCAGCAGGGGCATCAGCAGGGATTCGTGTGCTTGGGGTGGTCAGGTCATGTACAGCCTTGGAGGCCACTGGAAGGATTTTAGCTTTTGTGCTGAAACAAGTAGAGAACCAAAGAGGGTCTGCCCTCCCATCCGACTCTTATTCTCTACCTCAGCTACTGCATTTCCTTCATAGCACTTCCTACATTTTGTAATTATTTTACTAGTTTATTTATTTTCTTCATTTGAATGTTAATTCCATTTATGAATTTCTTAATTATTTCAACAAGTATTCATTGAGCACCTACCACATACCAGACAATGCTGTAAGTACTTTGGATAAGTTAGTAAGGTAGTCTAATTTTTTTTTTTTTTTACTTTTTCTTTGAATGAGATGGTGTATCAGTTAGCTTCCACTGTGTAACAAAGCAAGAAAAAAATCTTGATGGCTTAAAACAGCCATGTTTTTAACTTATGAGTCTGCGGGTTATATAGAAGGTTCTAGAAGATGGGACTAGTCTGATCTCAGCGAACTGATAAGCTGGCTGATAACTGGCTGGACTGAGATGGCCTTTTCTTGGGCAACTCTCCTCCACATGGTCTTTCTCCCCCAACGGTCATGCCTGGGCTTGCTGCGTGGTAACTGCAGGACTCTGGGTCAGAGCAGAAGCATCCAAATCTTCCTAAGGCCCAAGCTCAGAACGAGCAGAGATCCATCCACCACATTCTTCTGGCTGAAGAAAGCCACAAGGCCAGCCTGACGCAGGGGACTGAAAAACAGATTCCACCTCCTCATGGGAGACATTGGAGGAATGTGGCCACGTCTGCTGTCCCCCAAGGTGGGAAGCCATGGGAGGTCTGAGAGCAGAGGAGTCCTGTGTTCCAAGTGAGGTTTCATGGACGTCTCTGGACACAGTTGAGATTTTACTGTGGGGAGAAAAGTGGAAGTGGGGAGACCAGCTAGGATGACAGCACCGATCACCACAACAACCGAAGCAGGAAATGATGGTGGCGCAGACCAGGGGGTGGTGATGAAGGTGAAGAGAAGACGCCATGAACAGTCCCAGGACTGTGCCCCTTGTCTCACTGTCACATGTCGGGTCTCTAGGGGAGGCCTGAAAAGAGTTATCAGTAAGAGTGCTCAGATTTAAGGGGCTTCGGACCTGTACTGTCTTCTATCTTCTCTCAACCTGGGTATTTTGGAGCTCTTTAAGGACAATAATGATCATATCTGTGTTTTATTCAGTTTCAATTGACATTTGTTTATCACCTCTTAGGTACCAGACAGAGCGCCCCCACTTTCAAAGAAAGAAGGGAAAATAGTCAAATAACCCAACATCTGTGTCATAATGTACCGATGACTTTCTCCATTCTTTGAACGCTCTGTCATTCAACAGTTAATATTGGTTGAGTGAATGGCTACTTGATTCTGTGGGGTCCTGTCAATATAGTGATTCAATGTTCAACAGAGACTAATGCGGAGAGAAATGCAAAATGATCACCCACTTAGAAAGACGGGTCTCACTCAATAATATTACTAATAAATTATTTTTATATATTTAAGATTAAAAAATAATAAACACTGTTGTGTACCCTATTCAGCTTAAGAAATAAATTCTGAGCAGAGCTTAAGATTCCTGTACACTGCTTCCTAAACCCATGCTCTCCTCACCCCAGGTTAAGCCGTAATCCAGAATGTGGTCTTTGTCATTCCTGTGCATTTTTCTATATTTTGAACTATATTTCTGTATTTGAACTCTGTCTGTAGGTATAACTAAGCATCAAGTATTGTCCTGCATGATCTTAAACTTTTTATATTGTTAAGATTTCTTATTTGGTTTCCAATACACTGTTTGAATAATAACAGCAGGGCTTGGCCTATAGGCATCCCACAGAGATTATTTTGGAGAATTCCACGAAACTACCAAGGAGTAGTTGTGATATACCCAGAATAAGTCCAATAATATCAGCTCAAAGCCAAAGAACCTTACTAAGGTATATTTACTGAATATTTGAATCCCTGAGACTGACAGCATAAGCCCCATCCATGGCCCTGGTACAAATTAGAAAACAGGGCCAACTCTAGGTAAGCAATTGCCTGCTAACAAACTGGACAAGCTCCCATTTGAACAGTGAACCACCTGCACAACTATATCAGCATCCCTGTCATGTATTACCATGTGCCAGGAACTGCACATGAATGGATACATTTAATTCTCCTATAGTCATAGAAGGTAAGTACTTTTGTCTCTTCTTTCATTATATGGATGTGGAATATTGAGGCAAAAGTAGCAGGCACAGTGGTTTATGCCTCTAATCCCAGAGGCTCAGGAGGCTGAGGCAGGAGGATCCTGAGTTCAAAGCCAGTCTCAGCAAAAGCAAGGAGCTAAGCAACTCCGTGAGGCCCTGTCTCTAAATAAAATATAAAATAGGGCTGGGGATGTGGTTCAGTGGTCGTGTGCCCCTGAGTTCAATCCCTAATACTCCTCCTCCCCCCTCAAAAAAAAAAAAGCCTAAGTAAATTTCCCAAGGTCATACCACTGGTAAAGTGGGTAGGACCAGGACTCAAACCCAGACAATCTATCTCCACAGCCTGTGCTCTTAAGGACTGAACTCTAACACTTTTCACTCTTTCCAAGAACTCAACTGAGCAGGTATTATAATTAGATTCTCCAAGCTGTAGATGTGACAGATGAAGCACGGAAAGTCTGATAACTTGCTCAAGGTCACATAGCCAGCACTTGGCACAGCCAGGATTTGAACTCAAGCAGTCAGGTATATTTGAGCAAGGCTCAACAGCCATGGTGCAGCCAACTTAATTCTAGAAAAAAAAAAAAAGCCAAAACCCACCACATCTCCAAATCTCCTGACACTAGTCTATTTTATTAGGCTTGCAACTCTTTAACTGCAGTAAGGTAATAATGTTGTGGTACCAGATAAAGCTGTGCTTTGTATGAACTTTGTGGAAACCCAGGCAAGGAAAAGGAAGTTCAAAGGATCTCTCCAACTGGGACTAACGAAGGGCAGGGGAGTGTGGGGTGGGGAGGAAAAATGAATGGAAATGCCTGAGTGGCCTCAAGTTTCTAAAAGAAGTAGAGTTGGGTTCATTTTGGGTGAAAGCCTCCTCCAAAGTTTCTACACAGTTACCACAGTTACCGCAGTTGGGTAAGGCAGAGCCTCCAGGATTAAATTACCCTAACACTTAGCAGCTTTAAATAATAATCTCCCCTTATCCATTCAGGTCTGGGAGGTCAGGAATCCAGAAACAGCTTGGCTGAGTGGCTCTGGATGAGGGCTTCTCAAGCACGGTCGGCTATTGGCTGGAGCTGTCTCATCTGAAGGCTGGACTGGAAGATCCGCGTCCAAGATGGCGCACTCACACGGCTGTTGGCAAGAGGCCTGGGTTCCTCCTCGCATGCATCTCTCCACAGGGCTGCCTGAGTGTCCCCACGACATGACAGCAGGCTTCCCCCTGCATAAGTAATAGAAGAGAGGGAGAGGTATGTATTACTTTTTGTGATCCCATCCTCTCTGCTTTGTTCTATTCACTAAACATGAGGCACTAAACCAAGCTCACGCTGGAAGGAAGATGAACAAGGCTGTACATGTTGAAGGCGGGAGTTTTAAAGAATTATTTGTGCCAGGTATGGTGTTGCACGCCTGTCATCCCAGCAACTGGGGAGGCTGAGGCAGAAAGATTATACATTGGAGGCCAGCCTGGGCAACTTAGTGAGACCTTGTCTCACAATAAAAAACAAAAAGAACTGGGGATGCTTTAGTGGTAGAGCACCACTCATTCATTCCTCAGTACTTAAAAAAATGTATTTATTCGTAAACTTTTCTTAAAACGCCGGTTTGGCAAGAAAGAAAGAAGTCCTACCTCGTTTTTGTTTTTTTTTTTTTAAATTGTAGTTGGACACAATACCTTTATTTTATTTATTTATTTTTATGCAGTGCTGAGAATCAAACCCAGTGCCTTGCACATGCTAGGCAAGTGCTCTACCGCTGAGCCACAACCCCAGCCCCCTTACCTTGTTATTTTATGGTGCTATTTCCTATAGCTGAGAGCAACAGACTTCATAGCCAGAACCACCTAGAGGCCCAGCTCTCTACTTACTCCTGGGTGACCTCAGCAAGTTACTTAATCTCTCTGTGTCCCCTTTCCACACCTGCAAAATGGGAGAATATAATATCACCAACCCCTTTCAGGCTGTATGAGGGTTTGAATGAGTACACGTTGGTAGAGTTCTCTAGAAGTGTCTGGAACACGGAAAACACAGTGTGAGTGTTTGCTAAATCCAAAACACTCTTTTAGCACTCTAGCTGAATATGACTAGCAGCAGGGAAACTGCCCTCCCCAGCAGATTGAAATGATCTTTCATCAGGGGTGACCTCTGTAGCACAGGCGGTCGCCAGTCAGAACAAAACCTGGTCCCTGCTGTGTCAGGCAAATAATTGGTTAGTTGTTGTATCAAGGTGAGGGCGGCCCTGAAAGTGGGAAGGGAAAGGGAGGAAACTCCAAGGGTTTAGGGATCTAGGTGTCAACCTGAAGGTCAGTGTATTAGTAATTGGCACCACACAACAGCACCTATCACATCAGCCTGGTTTTAAATCAGCAGGATATTTTGTTCGTAAATGGACTTCTTAAGGTCATGGTCATTGAACCCAGGGATGCTCTACCACTGAGCTACTCCTCCAACACTTTTTTTTCATCTTGAGACACGGTCTCACTAAATCGCCCAGGCGAGCCTTGAACTTCACCCTCCTGCCTCTGCCTTCCAAGTTGTTGGGATTACCATGGCAAAAATAGATATATTTTTTTTAAGTGCAGCAAACCTACTCTGTTCATTCCTGTTCAGTACTGTCTTTGGCTATTCCTAGTGCCAGGACAGGGACTTTAGTCCAAAGCCCAGTGAATGAGCCCATACACAAGACTTTGAGAGCTAACTGACCGATGTTTTACAAGAGCAGGGAGACTCTGACTGAATCTTTAGGAAGTGAGTTGAGTGGAACTGAGCAGAGCAGAAACTACCCAGAGAGTCGGTGGTGTGCCCCCTGGGCAGGCGAACTAGGTACTTTTCCTTCCTGAGAATTATTTCAGAAGCCAGGCTTTGAAGTCTTAAGGGTTGGTTGCTACTATTTAGTTATTTGAACTAAAATAATAAAAATCCCCTAACTGCTCTAATTTTTTTTCGGGGGGGGGGGGCAGTTGAAAAAGCACATTATGGTGTATCTTTACTGCTTACAAGATGGCGAGAGGGGATTTTTCACAAAGTTTCCCGAACCAGTAGGGAAAACATGTACCTGAGGGCAGAGCTCTCCAGGAAGAGGCCAGAAGGAGTGGCCAGGTGATGACAGGGAAAGTCCCCCTGTGGAGTGGCCTGCAGTCCAGCCCTCTCTGGCTTTCAGATCAGATGAGGACTTGCAGGAAGCTTCCAGGAGGGTGTGGCTGCCCTCCACGAGGCCAGCCCCAAAGGGTAAAAGCAGGGTTTTTTGACATTTTGGCCAGATCACTTGGTTGTGGTGGCTGTCCTGTGCATAATAGCATGTGTAGCAGCGTCTCTGGCCTCTACCCTTAGGTGCCAGTATAACCCCCAGTTGTGAAAATCAAGAATGTCCCTGGACATGGTGAGATGTCCTGTGGGGAGGAAGGCCACATTGCCCCAGGTAGGTACTGGGTTGAAGAAGGGTGCATCCAAAAGTTCCCTCCTTCTGTCAGTCTGGACCTCGTGGCTTCCTCAGAGCTTCCCCCCTCCAAGCTCAGGAAACCTCTGGACATCTGTACTTGCTCGTGCAGTTTCTGGGGTCTCCATGGTTGTGACCTGCTTCAACCTGTGAGCATGGCCATGCTGATAGCAGAGCCTCTGGTCAGGCCCCCAATGGACACAGGGCTGTTTCCAGAAGGGTTGCTTCTGGGTTCCCCTCTGAATTGCACCTTTCAGGCAGGAGGGCAGGGGTCAAGGCCTCTCCCAGGTTGAGAGAGAGGCCACTCCGCTTTTTAAATTTTCCACCAAATTAAAAATGAAGACATATCGATATGAAGCAACAACAACAACAAAAAAAAAATGACATGTTTTAAAGCTAGGTGATTAAGGGATTTACCCAATTATTAATTTGTCGCCGTCTGGAGGCGGTACCTACCGTCAGGCAGTGAGAAGTAGCAGGGAGGCTGGGTGAATCCCCTCTTCTCTCAGGCCCAGCTGAGTGGCTCTGGCCTTACTAGAGGAGGGGGCTTTGAGAAGGCCAGGCCTGAGCCAAGTGACTCCTCAACATCCCTCCCTCCCCCAACGCTTAGAGAGGCAGGGCCAGGGGAGAAAGTGGTAACAGCGAAACAGCCTCTTAGCTTCATGTTTGAATAGGGAATTCAAATGTGCTGGCTCTGCCACTTTGTAACCATGGGGTCTTGGGCTGTCACTTAACACTCCAGGCCTCAGTTTCCTCGTCTAACTTGGGAATGCATGTGCCACATCATAGAACTGGACACATTTAAATTGCTCCGTGCAATGATGAGTGCTTGGTAAGCATGCAGTGCCTATCAGCTGTTCCTGCTGTTATATTAATTTTATTTGGCCTGAATCAAACTGGGCCCATCCCAGTTCAGTGTCGTATCGTATCAGTAGCAACTTTCTAAAAAAATCCTCTTTATTCAGTGTCCCCCCCCCTCCCCCTGCCAAAGTCACCCTTTTCACAGCTTCTGTGCCCTTGGACCCTTTCTCTCTTGAGGTCTTTCTCTCTTGCTTAGCCTCACCTATGACCTTCACCCCTTCCTTGTGGACCAACTCTCTCTCTCCCTGGTCTTCGGGGCTGGTCATGTGCAGACAGGGTTAGTATCTCTTACCTGTCCCACCTCTTCTGACTCTACAGGGTGAAGGTCCAGTTGCTACAGGGTCCAAAGATGCCTTCACCAAGGGCAGTTTGTCATCCATTCACTAGGGGACAATCGGGTTTCCAGGCTGGGTGTTGTGAATGACGTGACCATGCGTGTTCCTGTCAACTCTTGGAGGACAGTGCTGTCATTTCTGTTGGGTCAAGGGATTATTAGTTCCATTCACTCTTACATAGATTCTTTTTTTTTATTTCCTTATGGAGATTCTTTAGGATTTTCTCAGATAATTTTATGTTGTCTGTGAATACAGACAGTTTACTCTTCTTTTCCAATTTATTTCCTTTTTTAAAAAAAATGCATTTGCCTTTTGTACAGTTTGATTTTGAATAAAGGTCTTAAGAGATTAGCATTCAGTCTTTTATCATTAAATATAAAGTAAGTTGCAGGGTTTTTTTGTAGAAGTCCTTTAATCATGTTGAGGAAATTCCCTCCCATTTCTAAGTTGCTGAGGGCGGTCTTGAATGTGTGCTGAATTTTGTCACTGGACAAAATGACAACTACCTGTTCTGAATCTATTGATATAAATCTATGGTTTTTCTTCTTTATTCTTTCTTTATGATAAATTATAATGACGTTTTTTTTTTCTTAAAAAGCCACTTTTTATTGCATATATCCAAGATGTGCACCTGGATATTTTGATACACTTATTTTGAAAGACACATGCATAGTGAAGCAATGACAACTGATTTTTAAATGGTAAACCAACCTTGTATCCCTGGGATGTATTTTACTTGCTCATACTTCTTAGTGTTTTTTAAAGGTGAGTTATAATTCACAAACCATGAAATTGATTCTTTTAAAGTTCAAAATTTGGTGTTTTTTTAAAAAATTTCACAAGTGTTATACAACCATGTACAACTATGCCTGCTGACTAATTTTGGATTGAGGATTGAACCCAGAGCTTTGTGCCTTCTAGGCATGTGACAAGCTTTTTTTTTTAAATCACCCCCAAAAGAAATCCTGTTCCTGTAAGCAGTCATTTCCCAACTCCCCACATCCTGACTCTTGGCAAGCACTAAAATACTTTCTATTTCTTTGGATTTGCCTATTGTGGACATTTTATATACATGAAATTATATAACATGTGGGTCTTTTATGGCTGTCCTCTTTTTTTTTTGGGGGGGGGGCTGTACTGGGAATTGAACTCAGGAGCACTCAACCACTAGCCACATCCCCAGCCCTATTTTATATTTTATTTAGAGACAGGGTCTCACTGAGTTGCTTAGCACCTTGCTTTTGCTGGGGCTGGCTTTGAACTCTCAATCCTCCTGCCTCAGCCTCCTGAGCCGCTGGGATGACAGGCATGTGCCACCACACCTGGCTGTGGCTGTCTTCTTTTACTTACTGTTTTCAGAGCTTGTCCATGTTGTACCAGGTATTAGTACTTCATTCCTTTCTATGACCCAATGATATTCCATTGTGTGGATATGCTACACAGTCCATTCATCAGGTGGTGAACTTTTGGGTTGTTTCCACTGTTTGGTTTTTACAAATAAGGCTGCTACAAACATTTGTGTACAAGTTGTTGTGTGCACATCTGTTTTCAGTTGTCTTGGACATATACCTAGAAATGGAACTGCTTGGTCTCATGCCACTCCATGTTTAACTCTTGAGAAACGACCAAACTGTTTTCTACCGCAGCTGCAACTGCCCCATTTTATGTTCACCCCAGAAATATGTGAGGGTTTCAATTTCTCCAAATTCTTACCAGTACTTGTTATTCATCTTTTTGATTATAATTATCTAATAGGTGTGAAGTGGTATGCATTGTGGTTTTGATTTGCATTTGCCTAATGACTAATGATGTTGAACATCTTTTCATATACCTGTCATCTACTATAGATCCTCTTTGGAGAAACGTCTATTCAAAACCTTAACCCATTTGAAAAATCCACCGTGTCTTCAGGGGCCAGCATGAGCACCTGCCAGAGCCTGATGGAGCAGCTCAGGCTGGAGGTTGGGGTGGAGAGGATCATGGTCTCTCCAGGGGCCTCAGAGCCTCATCACTACAGGGTGCAGAATGGCTGCCAGAATGCTCTGCTGGTCTGTGTTCCAGTTAGAAGCGACCCCTGCCAGGAGCCCAGATCCTGAGCCTTACTCTGAAGAGTGCAGGGCAGCAGTTGGTGGAGGAGGCCCTTCAGACACAATGTGATGAATGATGCCTTTAAGTCTCAAGAAAACCTTTTTCTCCAGCCAAATAACTGAGATATTTCAGACCTTCCCTGTGGCTGGTCCTGCAGCCAAAATTCTACAGAAATTTGTGATTTTCCGCTCAAATAAGGAAACTGACTGAAGGAGTGGAGTTTTAGATAATAATGGCTCAATTCTTGGTAAAGTGCTTTATATGAAGATAAGCAAAAAAAACTTACCATTCACCAGGTGGTGAACTGAAATATTTTATTGTTCTTTATACAAATTCAATTTTAATATATTAAAATTCATGACTTAAACCTAGAGTATCATGTATGTTTTATTTGTTGGATGCTTACATTTTAGGAAAGAAAACATTTTCATTTATTTAAAAAATGAATATTTGTAATTTCTGGTTTCTAAGATTTTTATACTACAATAAAATTTGTTCTTTTATCCTGAATTTGCAATTACTAAGTAAAGATAAGAAAGTATAAAATTGGAGGGAAGAAAGAATAGGCATTACTAATTCAATGATGACTTAATTTTTCTAAAGGAAGAAAGTTGTTTTATTCGTAACACTAAACATGGGAGATGTTTCTTAGCAAACTAGTTTGGAAAGGTTATTGGTATGATGTATATTAGGTTCTCCCATCTTGTGTATTGTTATGGTTTAGATATGAGGTGTCTCCCAAAAGCTCATATGTGAGTCAACGCAAGAAAGTTTAGAGAAGATACAATTGGATTATGAATCTTAACCTAATCAATGCATTAATCCCCTGATAGAGATTAACTGGGTGGTAGGAAGTTAGGGTGTGGATGGAGGAGGTGGGTCATTGGGCGCATGCCTTTGGGGCACATATGTGGTCTATGGTGAGGGAGTCTCAGTCTCTCTCTCTTTCTTTCTCTCTCTCATTCTCCCCCCCACACACGCACACACCTTCCTGGTGCAATTTTCTGAGCTGCTTTGCTCTGTCACACCCTTCTGCCATGATGTTCTGCCTCACCTCAGGCCCTGAGGATTGGAATCTGCCATCTATGCCCTGAGACCTCTGAAATCCTAGTGGCAAATAAACTTTTACTCCTCTAAAGTTGTTCTTGTCAGGTCTTGTGGTCATAGCAGTGAAAAAACTGACTAAAACACATATGAAACTGATAAAATCTCTTTTTAAGTTCCTTTACCTTATAGTAGTGGTTGCAGTTTTTTAAAAATACTACATTGTTTCATGTCTTTTAAAAAATGTTTAAAATATGGCCCACATATAAACATTGCAAATGGCTAAGAACAAAGAAACATGAAAATATTACAACTTTAAAGAATTCTTCATTCACAGTGTTTTACTTTGATGATGTGCCTTTGATTTAATTCGGGACATTTTTAGAAGGATACTTTGTGTTTGTAATAATTTTTGAGGAGCTTGGAAATAAATTCTGCTTAATTCATCATTTTCTATGATGGCAAGAAAAAATGGGTTGGTTTCTTATTGTTGAGTTGTGACAGCTTATAATATACTCTAGATAACTAGATCTTCATTAGATATATGATTTGCAAGTATTTTCTGGGGGTTGTCTTTTACTTTCTTGACAGTGTTTTTTGAAATGCAAAACAAATTTTTGTAATTTTGATGAAATTCAAGTCATCTATTTTAGTTCTTTGTGCTTTTGGTGTCATATCTAAGGAATCATTGCCACACTCAAAATCACAGGACCCACATTTCAGCTAAGAGTTTTGTAGTTTTAGGTCTTACATTTAAATCTTTGATGTATTTTGAGTTAGTTTTTGTATGGTATGAGGTAGGGATCCAAATTCATTCTGTTGTCTTGTATATCCATTTGTCCCACCACAATTTGTTGAAGAGGTTATTCTTTCCCCATTTAATGGTTAGGACACGCTTGTCAAAAATGAATTGACCAGAAATGTGAGAGTTTATTTCTGGAATTTAAAACTTCTTCTATTGATATATGTTTATCATTATTCCGGTTTCGCTCTGTCTTATAGTAACTTTCAAAATTGGGTAGTGCAACTGGGTACCATGGCACACCTGTAATCTCAGCAGCTCAGGAGGCTGAGGCAGGGGTTTGGAAGTTGTTAAGTGCCCCTGGGTTCAATCCCTGCTACCAAAAAAATACACACACACACATATATAGTAGGGGGAGTATACCACATAAATTATAGAATCAGCATGAAATTTTCTGGGGAACGAAAAGCAGCTGAAATAATATAAATTGTATCAGCTCTTGTATACCAATTTGGAGGCACTATCCTCTTACTATTAGCTTCCAATTAATGAGCATGGGAATATCTTCCTATATCTTTGGGTCTTTAAGATTTTCCCTTGATGTTTTGTAGTTATTTATGTTTTCAGTTTGCACTTTTTTGGCTAAATTTTGCCTGCAATATTTTATTGTTCTTTATACAAATTCAATTTTTATTATAAACAGAATTATTTCATTTTTTGGATTGTTTATTGTCATTGTACATGAATATTATTGAATTTTGTACATCAATCTTGCATCCTGTAGCCTTGCTGAACTTGTATGTTGAATCCAACAACATATACATTTTTATTTGTTAGTGTATTCATTTATTTAGGGGAAGGCTTCTGTCTTCTCTAGAATTTTATAAAGTATGTGGTTTTCTATTTCCTTGTTGATCTTTTTTGTTTTCTAATTGTTATATCAGTAACAAAAGTGAGGCATCAGATTCTTCAAATATTATTGTTGAGTTGTCTATTTCTTCTTAATTCTGTCAGAATTTGCTTCATGTGTTTTGGGGACTCTTATTTTATTTAATATTAGGATAGCCATCCAACTTTATTTAGGCTATTATTTGTATCATAAATATCTTTCCATCCTCTTATATTGAAACTATTTATGTCTTGAAATCTGAAGAAAGTGTTTGTGTGTTTGTTTGGTTCGTTGGTAGGGTTTTTTTTGTTTGTTTGTATGTTTTTTGTTTTTGGTACAGGGAATTGATCTCAGGAGCACTCAACCACTGAGCCACATCCCAGCCCTATTTTGTATTTTATTTAGAAACAGGGTCTCACTGAGTTGTTTAGGGCCTTGCTTTTGCTGAGGCTGGCTTTGAACTCATGATCTTCCTGCCTCAGCCTCCTGAGCTGCTGGGATTACAGGCATGGCTAAAGTGTGTTTTTCATAGACAGTATGTTCTTGGTTCATTTTTAAAAATCCATTCTGCCAATCTTTAATTTTTTATTGAAGTGTTTGATTCATTCATATTTTATATAATTCCTGATAAGGTAGGGTTTATATCTACTATTTTGTTGCTTGTTTTCTATGTGTCTTATGTCTTTTTTGTGCTTCTAGTCTTCCATTACTATATGCTTTTGTGTTAAACAGATATTTTTCGTGTACCTATTTATTTTTTATTATCTATCAATCTATGTATCTATGTATCTATCTCTCTATCAATCATCTATCTATCTATCTATGTATCTATCTATCAATCATTTATCTATCTATTCTAGCAGTGCCAGGAATTGAACCCAGGAACTTGTGCATCCTAGGAAAGCATTGTACCTCTGAGCTATATTCCAGCTCCTAGTAGACCATTTTAATTACCTTGTCATTTCTTTTACAATAAGTTGTTTTAATTAGAATTAATGGTTATACATAGTAATTGGGCTCATCCTGACAAACTCATACATTCATGGAAATAGATTTCAGTTCATGACCTCCCCTTTTCCCTCCCCTTTCTCCTCCTGCCCTCCCCTCTTCTCCTTCCTCTACGAGATTTCCTTTTGCTCTTTTACCACATGTTTTGCTCTATATTCTTAATGATTGTCCTGAGGATTACAACAACATAATAAGCTAGTTCGGGTTAATATACACTTTAATATTAAGTTTGCATATTATTAGTTTCAACAACCTATACAACTAAGCTACTATATAATTCCATTCCTTGCCCCTCTTTTGTACTAATATTACACGAACTCACCACTTTATATGATTACCAACATAAGTTTATAGTTATTGCTTTATGTAGTTATCTTTTAAATCAGATTGGAGAAAAGAAATATGATAAACAAGATAGAAATTTATATTGTCCTCTCTATTTATTCATGTAGTTACCTTTACTGGTGCTCCTTGTTTCTTTAATGGGTTCAAGTTACTGCCTAGTGTCCTTTCTTTACATCTTGAAGGTCTCTCCTTAGTGTTTCTTACATAGCAGTTTGGCTTGTAATGAATTCTCTTAGCTTTTGATTATCTAGAAATGTCTTTCTCATTAATTATTACTAATAATATTATTATTTAGTTGTACTGGGGACTGACCTCAGGGGTGCTCTACCACTGAACTATACCCCCAGCCCTTTATATTTTTACTTTAAGACAGAGTGTCACTAAGTTGCCTGGGCTGCCCTCCAACTTATGATCCTCCTGCCTTAACCTCTTGAATATGGGATTAAAAGTGTGCACAGCTACTTCATTTTAAAAACATCTTTATTGAGATATAATTCACATGACATATAATTCACACTTTAAAGTATATAATATAATGGCTTTGAGAATATTTACAGAACTGTGTACTCAACACCACAATAAATTTTAGGATATTATCATTACACTAAAAAGAAACTCTGGTCTTCTTAGCCATCACCCCCCACCAAATTTCCCATCTACCCATCAACTCATTCCCTAGGCAACCATTAACCTATTTCGTCTGTAGATTGTATATTTATTGATTTAATTTATTTTTGGTAAAAAGAACCAACTTTTTGGCTGGGTGTGGTGACACATGCCTGTAATCTCAGCAGCTTGGGAGGCTGAGGCAAGAGGATTGCAAGTTCAAAGCCAGCCTCAGCAACTTAGCGAGACTCTAAGCAACTCAATGAAACCTTGTCTCTAAATAAAATACGAAATAGGGAAATATAGTTCAGTGGTTGAGTGTCCCTGAGTTCAATCCCTGGTACCCAAAAAACAAAAAGAACCAACTTTATATTTCATTGGTTTATTGGTTTTTCTCTATTTCTTTGTCTATTGAGTGTAGTTATAGTTTATTCTTTTGGTTGATGTTGTTATTCCAGGGACTGAATGTACTACAACTGACTTATCTGTTCAATTGTTGATGGAATTTTGGATTGTTGATATTATGTGCCTAACATTTTAATTGTATTCTTTAATTATTTTTCTACCCAGGAAAACTGACTCACATCCAATGAGTAAAAATTTATTGTTTTCAACATACTCAATAATTTCTGATTTTTGTCTCAGTTACTATAAGGTCAATATATTAGCACTTTGATAATCAATATTAGTGCTTTCACTTTTCAAGTTTTTGCCCTTTAAAGAACAAGGCAATGAAATATTAAATAACTGCACAAAAGAACTGTCATACCAAGAGTCAAGGCTGCAGAGACTGAACTGTTGGCTGGCAGAGAAAAACCACCAAATGCCCCACTCCTTTCTAATTCCCACCAAAAGCACAGCAAAGAAGTGGACTAAGGAATTGACTCCAAGCAAACTTGACAATGGAAGAAAGGGCATGAGCACCTTAGAGAGTCTGACGTATTTTTAGAAGACTAAAAAATGTTGGACATGTGCATCCTTTAGCTGATGAGCGAAACTCCAGCTTAGCACACGAAAGGAGACTGAAGAGAGCGGGTGGTGGGGGGAAGAGACACAGAGAGAGAGGAAGACAATACAATGGAGAACACCATTAAAAATGATGCTGTGGGCCTGGTGCGGTGGTGCATGCCTGTAATCCCAGCTGCTGGGGAGGCTGAGGTAGGAGGATTATATGTTCAAAGCCAGCCTCAGCAAAAAAGCCAAGGTGCTAAGCAACTCAGTGAGACCCTGTCTCTAAATAAAATATATAAAAGGGCTGGGGATGTGGCTCAGTGATCAAGGACCCCTGAGTTCAATCCCCGGTACCAAAATCAAAAACAAAAAAACAAACAAAATAGATGCTGCAAAAGGATAATACAAAGTTTAATGATACACAAAAATGTTCACAGTATATTGATAATACAGTAAGTCGATTATATAATTTAACATTACATATTATATATTAATACACAACATTAAACTAAAAAGTAGGTTAAAACCAATATATTAATCATGCTTGTATTTTTCATAAGAAAATACATATATACTTAACTGGGAGACCATATACCAAAATGTTAACATTGATACAAACAGTTCACATGTTTTCTCTCGTTGCTGTGGTTTGAATGTGTCCCCAGAATTCATGGGTTGAAAACAGTCACCAATGCAACAGTGTTGGGGTGGAGAACACTAAAGGGAGGTGTTATCTCTGCCCTCAAAGGGCTCGCAGGAGCCAGTTCACTTTCTTAGACTTTTGCCTTTCTGCTTTCTTCCATGTGATGGATGACACAGCAAGAAGGCCCTTTCCCGAAGCCATACCTTGATATTGGACTTCCTCAGTCTCCAGAACTGTGAGAAATAAGTTTCTGTTCATTATAAACTACCCAGACTCAGGTATTCCATTATAGCAACACAAAGTGGACTATACATGCTCTTATGATAACAATAATAAAAATGACGTTAAATTTTTAGTATCTACAAGAGACTAGATTTTAGAATATTATATATTCCTTCCTGCCTGCCTACCTGCCTGCTTTGCTTGCTTTTTTTTTTTTTCCACTACTAAGGGTGGAAGCCAGTTAGACAGTAGCTCCACCATTGACTGAGCAATAGCCCCCTGCCCACCTCTGTGGCCCTTTGTGTTTTAGTTTTGGGGGAAGGGGTCTCTGCAAGTTGCAGGCTGACCATGAATTTCTGATCTTCTTGCCTCAGCTTCCCAAGTAGTTGGGATTACAGGTGTGTACTACAGTTGTGTGCATCTGTGTTACAGGTGTGTGCATCCAGTTTAGAATATCAGACGTTTCTAAGACTGTGTTAGGGAGGAAACGGCAGCAGTATGGATGCACTGGTGGTTTATACAGCCTATTAAAACTGGTGAAATTGTACAAAATTAGCCATACTCAAGTATTCATCTATC